AACTCTTCGGTGTTTTGAACCAATTTAGTCAACAGTGTATTCAAATTGGCTTTCGTTTCATTGGCCCGTTTACTGTCGCCGATATCCCAGCCGTTGGGCAGCCATTCGTAAAACACGCGGTCCGACTGACGGCGCCAGAGGACCACCACTTGCAGCGTAGGGCCGGTCAAACTCGCGGCCGGCGGCGCGTTGGAGGCGACGGTCAGCGCTTTGACGAACTCCGGCTGTTTCTCTTCGTACAAATACATGAACCGAAACCTCTCTTTCGGGTAATTGTTTTCGCGCATATACTCGCGCATCGCCTCGCGTTTGGGCTCGTGTTCCGGCCGGTTGTTTGTGACCAACACTACGCACAGTCGACGCCGGGAGCGGACACTCTCTGTCGGACACAACTGGTCGAACATTGCCTGAAGAATGGGAGAGAAAGTAAGTTAGAAATGTGGCAAAAGCACAAACATTTGACACAAAAATACGGCAATTTAACCGCTCGATTACCTGAGAGGCCAGTCGTGGCAAAAGCAAGAACTTATTGGACTCGAGAACGTCGCGCATGAGTTGAGGCTTGAGCTCAAACACCGATAGCGTGGCTGTGGTTCGGGTGATGTCTTCGTTGAATATGAGCATTGAGTTCATCTTCGGGTCCACTCGATAGCGGGTGAGTATCTGTCGGGAGGCCTCGTTGCCGGTCACGTGTGCGAAGGCTATGCGCTCACGAAACTCGTAGGCAATCAATTGATACCGAAGTCTAATGTTTGACTCTTCGGTGACAAACAGTGTGCGCACTCTGTTGTCGTGCCATCCATTCAGGAACTGCTCGTAATTACTGTCAGTCACCTCTTGGACCAGATCTTTGGGCAGTGATTTGCGAATGAATTCAACGATATTCGGTAAACTGATTTGCGGTTCCCGATAGGCGCGCGGCTCGCCCTCAACCAGAGACATGATGTACGGCAGTGTCTGTACGGACAGCTTTCGGGCCAATTTGCTCTCGTGTTGCGAATGAATGGTCGCAAACCCGACGCCCAGCGGTTCCAAATCAGTTACAATCTTCTGCCAATAGGTCTCCATTTGTAGGCACGCGAAGCATAGGTCGCCGTAGAATAGTATTAAATACGGCCGCGAATGCGAGGCCGGGATAACGTTGTTCTCGTAGGCCCTGAACGCGAATAAATCAATTTGTTATTTAAAAGTATTACCAATTGATCCATAATTATGGCATTAATGGTGAACACATTGATGACTGTGAGTGACACCGTTACGAGTGGTTAATGTCTTAGCGAATACCTGGCAGTGATGGTCATCTTGTGGTAAGTGTTGGGAGCGTTGAAATTGAAGTGATACTGTTGACCACCGGAACCGCTGGTGAAGGTATAGGTGTCGAAGGGGTCAAAATCAAAGCGCTTGAAACTGCTATAATCGGGTCGCGACCTGAAGTTTGGCGTGTCTTCGGTGACACCGCTCTTGTCGTACAGCACACGCCTCTCCGGATCCATCAGAAGCTGTGGGATATATCAATGGATTTGATGGCAATTAGAAGATAATTAGCGGCCATCGATGGTAAGGGTTAGTGAGCGAACTCATACCTCATAGGCTTTGTTGAGTTCGATGAACTTGTTTTCGGCGCTTTTCTCTTTGTTTCTGTCCGGATGTCTGCGGAGGAAAACAACAGATGATAATCATTGCCATCAAGTGATGGACACTAAAGAGTGGGCACCGAATGGATCAATACATACAGTAGTTTAGCCAACAATCGGTAAGACTTCTTGATCTCCGGTATGGAAGCGGTTCGAGTGATGTTCAATACTTCGTACGGATTGTAGGCATCGGTGGTGCGAATGGTTGTCCCAATTGTCACCACAATTGACATTAAGTGCACAAATAAATGCATTTTTGGCACCAATTGTGTTGTGAAGACTGTGTTTGATATCAATATCACAATTATATACACAAAACACTAGTAATTAAATTCATTTCCCTATTTATAAATCACTTTTAATTGCAATTTAATTACAATTTTAATTGTATTTATAATAATTATTATTACAAATCAATTGATTTGTAGTTTTGTTTACATTTTATAGTCATTTAATGAGTGAATGAATGAATTTGTGAAATGATTTGATTGAGTAATTGCTTTGCAAATAATAGCGAATATTACGGCCCTTTTATAATCATTCAAAACCATGTTATCGTATAACATGTTAAGTATTGAAAAGTACTAAAACATCGGCAATGAATAACGTTCACAAATAGTCCCATACTTATAGTCCCCGAAAGCATAAACTTATAATAAATAAATTGTTTTTATTAGACGTTATTTTTGAACATTATTTGTATTTTGCTTTGAAGTCAACTAACAGTAAATATGTGTTGATATTTTAAATTGAGTTTTGAGACAATTTTCATCTGAATTATAATTAAATGTGATAACAATTAACAAGTGGTGAGCCATAAGAAATCAGTGGATCATTGGATCAGATGATGTGATGTCTGGTTTGGCGGCAAACACGTTGACAATAAGCCGAAGCGATTGTGTCTACACTTCTTGCTATTGGTTTGTAAACGAGTTTAAAAACTAAAAAGTTTATAATTAGTTAACGAAAGGGAGGGCCCCATAGGGGGTGGGGGTGAATGAGATGACTAAATGACCATGGTCACGTTTATTGTGGTCACATTCATTGTGGTCACATTGAATAACATGTGTGTAACGTAACCTGTGTTTGCACACCACTGAACACCCCTTTCAACTCATCCCAAGTGTTGAAAAACTTTTTAGAAATGATTTTTAAATTAGTTTTCAATTTAAACGTTAATTAAATTTTATTTTTATAATTGTTTTCAATCGTAAAGCGAGGAAAATGTG